AAATGGGTTCGACTGAGACTGCTGTTGCCCGATTTTCCTGTCCCCACAAATAACCATCACTTTAGTCTTTCGGGCGTTTATTTTCATGCCGGCTCTTCCCAACTCGACCGCAGCAGCTTCAAGCTTCTCTTTAAGGCGTGCTTGACTTTCTGCACACACGACCCAGTCGTCAGCGAAAGCAAAACCATCTACTAAGGTGTCGTGGAACTGGTATCCCAGTTGCGGCATCGACAATCCAAGAACCTTATCCATTGTCATAATGAATAATAATGGGGAGAGTGGATCTCCTTGCCTCACACCTCTGTGGCAGTGAACCTCGGAACTGGGGAAAACTGCTACAGCATTCTCATAGGACTGTGCGATGTATCGAATTAGAGGTGACGGAGCTCCAAACGCCTTGGCAGATCTGACGATTGTGTCATGCGAAACCGAATCGAACGCTTTCGAGATATCGACAAACGCCAAGCTGAGGTTAGAAGCAGTCGCTGAAGAGTGACGAAGCAGGGCATGCAACAGCGATGTGGCTTCCAAACAGCCGTCTCGATGCAGAAGTGCAAACTGAAGAGAGGGCAGTTGCAATCTACGACACCAGCGATCAGCAAGCACCTTATGGAAGCAACGGACAAGAATGGATGACACGGAGATCGGTCTCAGTTGATCAGGTGAAGTTGGATGTGGGACCTTCGGAACTAGCGTAATACGGGCTCTACACAGATGTGGGGGACAACCCCCAGATAACAAAAATAAGTTGAAATACCCAGCGAGCACATTAGCATTGAACCGGCGGAGCGGAAACATTGTCTAATCAAGCTCGTCAACCTGCTCATTTCAGTACTGGCAGTGAAAGAAAAACTACCTTTGAGCGTGGAGAGCCGTTTGCTCTCAAACACGAATAAGCGGCTATGAGCTATCTGACGTGAAACCAAAATCGTCATTTGCGCAATGGCTTTGAAGAGTTCAGCATCCTCAAACGTCATTTTGAACTATTATCGATGCTGAACAATAGTAAAGAAACGTTGCAAACAGGTCCGACAGTTTTTGTACCAACACTGAGTCAGATGCCTGGGTGCGTTCAAACCAATGGACCAGGTACTGCTCTGATGTTTCATCCTTAGTGTGCGCCGGCATAGTAGTAATAGAAAACACAGTGTCGGAAATAATTTTTTTTCAAAAAAATATGGCCATCAAAACATCAACTAGGTTGAACAAAGCCACCAATACTTTGAGCACCACCTGTGAAACCTCAAATTACAGCATCAAATGTGGTGTTCCGTTGATATTGTTGAAAATTCTGTGGGATTTTTCCCAGTCCGATGAGCACTGGTGGGACTATTGCCGGTTGTATCAATAGATGACATCTGCGGAACCGATTCTTTCATGAGAAACAATTGCAATGTGTCTCGGATACTAATTGGATTGAACGAACCTCTCTTCAAGTTGGTCTTCATTTACCAAGCGCTTTCCCAGTATATGATGCATTAGTTTCAGATATCTACATATATACGCTTGTGAGTAGCTGTGGTGATTCACCTGAGTTTCGCTTGAGCCGATGCCATCTTTAGTGACATAGAAGGAAATAGTCAAAATGGTGATCACTGAAGTTCTGCGGCAAACATAGGACACCATTCATCATCATCATCGGCAGCATGACATCAGTGTTCAACAACGATGCTTCACTGCCATACAACCATGATTTGTTTGAAAGCCTTGTTGTAAAGAAAAGAGCAATAGTGGACAGGGAAGGGACTTAGTGCTACCTTACCACAATGATTCCGAGGTGCCTATACCTCCAGACATTCACTCAGGCGATCTGGATAGAAAATGACAACAAGAACACCACAGACATCGGTTGGAAGCCATATCTCGTGGTGTCTCGAACCAGGCAAAGTGAGGATCACGCGGTCCCATCATGGAAGGAGAGTAGCACCGACAGCACCCAAGCGTTTCGTGATCTCCTTCATACTCTTCTACCAAGTCAAGGGTTGGCCACCTCTCTGTT